CCCTTCAAAATTGGAGGACCTAAAGTGCTATTCCATTTTCATAAAACACAATTTACGTCTGAACTGCCTGTTTTCCTTCAATTTCTAAAAAGAATTTAGCAACTTCCAACCAAATTCCTGTTGATTAGGGCCAAATTGGAGGAATCCCATGGCTGGGCTAGGTGCGCCAGGTGAAGGCGCACCCAGCCCAGGTGGTCTGCGACCTAGTTTCGTTCGGACCGCCCATTTTCTCCGACAACGTGGCTGAAGTCGTGACAGAGAATTCTGTTGGAATTAATTCTGGTTGTGGCCAAATTAGAGGAAGCCCATGGCTGAGCTAGGTGCGCCAGGTGAAGGTGCACCCAACCCAGGTGGTCCGCCACCTGGGTTCGTCCGGATGGCGCCGGAATCATCCATTTTCTCTGACATCATCGCACCAGTCGGGACAGAGAATTCCTGCATTTTGAAGCTGGTTTTTCGCATGCGTTTTGGTTCAAATTGTTGGCATAGGTAGAGTCGTCCGGGGGTAGGGAACATGTCGTGGGATGTTCCGATCAGATTGGTGGCCGGACGTGGAGATTTCAGTGAAGTTTTTTAGGCACCGAACTTTGACTGCTTGTATTTGTCGGATTACTAGGAGTTATGAAGAGTTCTTGTGATGGAATTGAAGAGGAAGACAAGGGCTTTCTACAAGCACCTATGTCCGGTGGTTTGGGAGGTCGTAACTCGCCGAAATTGTTGCTCAAAGATGGTGTTTTATGAAAATGAAATTGTACTTTAGGTCCTCCAATTTTGAAGGGGCCGTGTTTTGTTAATTTATGTTTCAATTAGAATAAAAAAAAATCCAAAAACTTACCTCAGTGACTATTTTTGAAAGTGGCTGAAAGTTGAGTGCCCGTTTATGCAAGTTTCGAATTTTAGTGACCATTTTGTTATTTTGCCGTAACTTTAGTGATCATTTGTGAAATTAACCCCATAAGAAAAAGACCACGGCCATCTGCAAGCGAAGGATTCGATCGGCTCCTCCGTCGGCGCATCGAGTTGAGCGGGAAGAAACGCGCTTCTGTCGATCAATTGGTGGAATATCTTGGCTCCACCTACCGAGAGTATGAACGCCACAAGCTCCAGCCTTTCACTAAAGGGGTTCAACAAATACTTGAACATATGGATGATTGTAATAATGAAAAATACAATGAGGAAAGGATTCCTTCGAGAAGAAATAGTCCGAAGAAAGTTGAGGAAGATGAAGAGAAAACGCGACTCATAGAAAAGCATCATAATAAAATGAGGGCTGGGAGAATTAATGATGATTTTGAGAATGATATTGGCTCGTCATCATCGATGGCATCAGCTGCTAGCACTAGTACTTCGGAATCTGAATCGAACAACTCATCAGAGGAAGATACTTGAACGGAGGATGCTATTTATGAGGATAAATCTGAGCCCAAGTTTGATTTGATAAAGTCGATGTTGCGTGATAATTATAATGAAAAATCAAAGAAAATGGGGAAAAAGGGAGAAAATAAGGAGGTGGTGGAAATGGAGGTTGTGACTAGCGAGGACAAGGAGGTAAATTTGATGAACGAGAGGCCTAAAATCGGAGGTAATGGTTTGTCTTTTATCAATAACAAAAGTAGTGACATTCAGAAAAATAACTCTAATGGACCACTGTTTAAGGGGGGATGAGTGAAGTATTGGAGGAGTTGGAAAACGAGGTGATTGGGCCAATTTATCACCCACATGTGCCACGAAGCCTTGGAGTGGAACCGATGTCAAGGATCTTGTTGCACGGGCCACCTGGGTGTGGGAAAACCAAGCTATCCAATGCCATTGCCAATGAGGCTGGTTTTCCCTTTTATAAGATATGTGCCACTGAATTGGTGTCTGGAGTTTCAGGTAAAATTATTTCTTGTTGTAGGTTTCTGCCCTTCAACTCAAATTCCACATGATGTGTATCCCCCTTGTTTTGTTGATGACAAATTTTTATCATGAGTTTTTACTCCCAGTGATGACATGGTATACATAGAACCATGTGTATAATTTTATGTAATCTTATCCTCCTATATGCTTCTAGTGCAACAATTTGCCCAATTTCAGTTTTTCTCTATTATGTGTTGGGGTTCAATTATGGACTTGGTTTTGTCCCTGCCCTTATTCACACAATTTTCAAGCTTGCTGAGATGCTTTATTTGCTGAATGTTTCAGGCGCATCAGAAGAAAATATCAGAGATCTATTTACTAAGGCCCACAGGACAGCCACATCCATTGTGTTCATAGATGAGACTGATGCGATAGCTACTAAACGGGAAATTTCGAATAGGGTGATGGAGCAACGAATTGTGACACAATTGATGTCATGCATAGATGAGTCATCGAGAATTGTGAAACCCATATCCAGAAGTGGGACTGCAGAGAGTTCGGATTGTAGGCCTGGGTATGTACTCATTATTGGAGCAACAAATAGGCCTGATGCTATTGATCCTGCATTGAGGAGGCCTGGACGGTTTGACCGTGAGATTTATATAGGTGTTCCGGACGAAAGTGCAAGGGTTGATATTTTGTCCATCCTCACTCGCAATCTTAAAGTTGAAGGTGCTTTTGATCTTCTGAAGATAGCTAAGTCCACTCCAGGGTTTGTTGGAGCTGACTTGGTAGCACTTACTAAAAAGGCTGCCAATCTAGCCATGAATCGGATAATAGGCCAACGAAAGGCTGAGGTTTGTACAAAACATGTAAAAGGGCAGCCTATTGAAAGATGGTGGAAACAACCTTGGGCACCAGAAGAAATAGAAAAACTGAGCATCACAATGGATGATTTTGAGGTAACGTGGAAAGCAAGCTTTAAATGGAAGTGGAAAATTGTGAATCCATATTGACGTTCTATACATTTTCTTTTCTTTCCTACCTCTATTCACCTGCTGTTGTTATCAAAATTTATCAAACTGTATTTTGTTTTATTTAGTTATAATTTATACTTTTGCATAGTTCTATAATTAATATGTATTTTTTTGGTTATGTTGTTCAAATTCCGAGTGGAATTGAATTTTATTTTTGGTCATGGATGGACATAGATGTTGCCTTTGATTATTTGTCTTGACACCGTTGTGCCTGATACATATTTTTCTATTTTGATGGCTAGATTTTGGTTTCTCTTTACCCGGGAATCTGTAGCTTCCTTGTTTCTAGAATATAAGTTAATGTCTTATTAAATCTCCTGTCATGTTGGTAGGTTTTCAGTGTAAATAGGTTCTGCATCTTGGAACCTTTAGCAAAATCTCTTTTATGCTACCTCGTAACGTTAATTCCATATAGTTAACGTGGGAAAGCATGTCTGTACTCTAGAGTTATTGTAGTTCGGTCTATTTTCCTTTCCTTTCTAATTGTTTCTGGTTCCTTCTTCTTTTCCTTTTGATTTCTGATACTGTGCTCTTTGGGATCACCCCAACCCATTTTCATCATTTCAATTAGTTGCTAAATACATTGATGCTGCGACTTGTATGTAGAAAGCTGCCAAAATGGTTCAACCCTCATCTAGAAGAGAATGATTTTCTGCAATTCCAAATGTAAANGCCTAGGAAATATAATCCAACAAATAATACGGTTTAACATCATTGCTCGAATTTTTTGGGTTTCAAAAAACCCAACACAAGCTTTAAATGGAAGTGGAAAATTGTGAATCCATGTTGACGTTATATGCATTTTCTTTTCTTTCCTAGCTCTGTTCACCTGCTTTCGTTATCAAAATTTATCAAACTGGATTTTGTTTTATTTAGTTATAATTTATACTTTTGCGTAGTTCTATAATTAATATGTATTGTTTTTTGGTTATGTTGTTCAAATTCCAAGTGTAATTCAATTTTATTTTTGGTCATGGATGGACATAGATGTTGCCTTTGATTATTTGTCTTGATACCATTGTGCCTAATATATATTTTTCTATTTTGATGGCTAGATTTTGGTTTCTCTTTACCCGGGAATCTGTAGCTTCCTTGTTTCTAGAATATAATTTATTGTCTTATTAAATCTCTTCTGTCATGTTGGTAGGTTTTCAGTGTAAATAGGTTCTGCATCTTGGAACCTTTTAGCAAAATCTCTTTTATGCTTCCTTGTAACGTTAATTCCATATAGTTAACGTGGGAAAGCATGTCTGTACTCTAGAGTTATTGTAGTTCGGTCTATTTTCCTTTCCTTTCTAATTGTTTCTGGTTCCTTCTTCTTTTCCTTTCGATTTCTGATACTGTGCTCTTTGGGATCACCCCAACCCATTTTCATCATTTCAATTAGTTGCTAAATACATTGATGCTGCGACTTGTATGTAGAAAGCTGCCAAAATGGTTCAACCCTCATCTAGAAGAGACGGATTTTCTGCAATTCCAAATGTAAANGATTTTCTGCAATTCCAAATGTAAAGTGGGAGGATGTTGGTGGACTTCAATTACTGAGAGAAGTGTTTGACCGTGACATAGTTAGGCGGATTAAATATCCCGAAGATTATGAGGTGATTGTTAACTTTAAATTTCATTTAGTAATTGATCATTTAGTGTTGTTAATAGATTTTGAGGTAAGGACTAGACAATTTAATGCGATGTGACTTTTTTTTTGGCATTTGAAATGAACAGGATCTTACTTGGTTGTTTTTCATGGGGCCACCCAAACATATATTTTGCCACAGCTTGTATATTTACAAATTGTCTTGCATGTTCTAATCAAACTTTGTGGCGGGTATTAAAATCTAGAAGAAATTTCATGAAGTTGAGGGGCAATGCATCCCAAAAAATTCCATCACTCAATAAAATTGAGTTTCTTGAGAAATTTTTTTGCTAAGCAAGAATGGACATAATCTTGGAAATCCTTCAAGGTTAATTCACTTTTCTCTGCATGTGTATAGGATTCTTGGCTAACTTAGTCACTTCACTTTTTGAGCAGTAACCATCTCTTTCATTCCTTGTAATTTTTTCCCATGTAAACATTTTGCGAGTATTCATCCACTTTTCCTGTGCCAATTGAATATCCCAAGTTTAGGGGTTTGAGATTAATTGGTTTACTTTCAGGAAATTGGGATCGATTTAGAGACGGGAATTTTGCTTTATGGTCCTCTGGGTTGTGGGAAAACATTAATTGCCAAAGCGGTTGCCAACGAATCAGGAGCAAATTTCATTCATATTAAGGTTGAGACCTGTTGCTACTTAACTAATTTTTGTTTGCCAATAATGATTTCTATTGCTCTCTTACATTTTTTGTTGTTTATCAAGGGCCCTGAACTTCTTAGTAAATATGTTGGTGAAAGTGAGTTGGCTGTTCAGACAATATTCAGACGTGCTAGGACGTGTTCTTCGTGCATCCTTTTTTTCTATGAGGTGCTTCTTTTCTATTTCCCTGCTGTTATTTCTGTAACAACTTTTGATCTCAAATGATTTGGTTAGGCAAGTTATGCTTTTGTAAATTAGTGTGCACTCCTTGGATTCTGACTTTGTTAAAGTATATATGCAAAAAATACTTTGGCTTTGAAACTCATCGTTTTATTTATGTCCTCAATAAGAATGTTAGGAGGCAATCATAAACAACAAAATCTGTCAAGGATGGTTCCCAATTGCTTGTACAACTTCTTCACGCAGCTTGCTAGAAGCCAAGAGTCCTAGTATCCTATCCCTTTAATAGTTCCTTGATAACTCGTAACTAATTTGCCTACACAGGATATAGGTATACTTATAAAACTATAACCAACAGAAATTGGTGATTATTGACATTCTCCAGTGAACTTGGTGGAAACTAGGATTGTGCTGATGTTCAACATTTTTTTAGGTGGATGTTTTGACAACTAGACGCGGTCAAGAAGGGTGATGGGTTGTTGGGCTGCTCTTGAATCAGGTTTGTAAAATGTTTTATTAAATGCTTTCTTGCCTAATTATATCCTCCATTAGTGTATATGACTAGGTATAGAACTGAAATCAAAGCCATGTCACTGCCGCTACTAGTAGAGCTAGATGGTGTAGATCATCGAAAATCTGTTTACGTAATTGGTGCTAAGAATAGGTACAAATTGTTATTTGTGTTGAGGAATTATTGTGGGTCAAGAGAAGAATAATTATTTGCTGATTAAAACTCTTCTATCATGCCTTAACATTTCTGATCTTGAAAATACAATTCCAGGCTTGAAGTCATGGACTGTGCCCTCCTTCGACCAGGAAGATTTGGGAAACCATTGTATGTCCCTCTTCCCAGTCCACATGATCGTGGTTTAATCTTGACAGCTCTTGGTAGGAAGAAGCGTGTAGATGCAAATGTAGACTTTGTTGGAATTTGATGCCATTTATGACATTTGGTTCCTAACACTTTGG